AGGAAGGAGAACCTGTTGGTGGAATCTATAGAGACATTGAGGTTGTCAGGTTTCCAAGTGGCTCAGGGGTAAAGAATCTGCCTGCCAATGCAGGAGACACAGGTTTTATCCCTGGGTCAGGAATATTCCTGGGAGGAGGAAATGGCAACCCACTCCATATACTTGCCTGGGAAATCTCATGGACAGAATAACCTGGCGGGCTGTAGTTCATGAGGCTGCAGAATAGTCAGACACGACTGAACGACTGAGCATGCACGGATAGAGGCTGTCATCACAGACACATGGTGAATACAAGTGGAGAATGGATCTGGAGGGTTTACTCGAAGATGGCCAGCACATTGCCCCAAAAATATCCAGAGCCACAAAATTTCTCTTCCAAGTATTTTCTGTTTTGCAGATTAATTTCCCATTCTCTTTTGTTTGTTTTGCACATTTTCAATATTTCTCACTCTCATTATTTACCTTGCTCTTGTCAGATCCCTTTGTCAGTCTGAACGTGCAGGCACAGACCTGCCTCCGTCTATGGCCGTGCCACCTTGAATATGCCCGATTTGTCTGAAAATGCAGATGACTGTCTTATTGTGTTGACCTAATTCAGGGTCTTTCAGTTTGGCTAAACAGCCTAAACCAAAGTTCTAGAATGGTGTAGGAAGCCGAACCATGGATGGAGCAGCTAGGCTGGCCCCTGGAAAGAGTCACAGTTCTGAGAAGGGGTGAGTAGGACAAAAGAAGTGAAAATGTACAGTTTTAAGAGAAACTGGGGCTGTGGGGCAAGTGAGGAGCAGTTTGTCATAGAAAAGTGTCTGGGACTTGGAGTAAACTATCTGGGCCTTGTTCTGGGCTCAACAAAGATTTACCACGTGGCTTTGTACAACTTATTTTACTTATCGGGCTTTGGATTTCTTATAAAAGGAGAACTACCAGAGGCCCTCTGCGGGGATAGTACAGAGGTTCAGGTGTGGTTATAAAAGCCAGTGTGCCCGGATTTGAATCCTGACTTTGCCACTTACTGGTTGTGCAAGTTACTTAACTTCTCTGATTTTAAGTTATCATGAAGTATCCATCTAGCTCATAGAAATTATTTAATAAAGGTGAATTACTAGTATGCAAGGCCTAGAGGTCAGTTACAGTCATATTTAATCCTTCAATTACTAGTGACATAAATTAGATTATAAATGAGGATTTAGCCAGTGTTTAGTAAACTGTCCTTAGGGTGTGGGCTGTGAACTATCAGTCACTGTATTAATAATGTATAGGGCATTTCTTTGCTGCTGTTCAGTTCTTCAGTCATGTATGACTCTTTGTGACCCCATGGACTGCAGCATGCCAGGCTTCCCTGTCCTTACAAATAGGCTAAAATTCTTCAAATATTTATATGCTTAGCAATGGGAATTTTTAATAAAAGGATGTACCTTAATATAAGAAATATTATTTTCAATATTCCGGTTTTGAGTGTCATTCTGTCCCAATTTTGTTAGAGCTCCATTAACTGAATTTTTTTTAAATAATGGCATAAAATGTTTCCAAATGATTTGCCATATGTCTCATATGTATTTATAGTCTATGCATTTACTACAGTACCTATTTTTCTAATTGAGACTCTAAAGAGCTACATGGACAAAGTCAAAAACACATATTTCTAATCTTCATTTTAGGACTTTGTTTCCCCTCAGAATAAAGGTCTATGAAGATATATGATATATGTGTGCTTCAGTCATGTCCAACTCTTTGTGATCCCATGGACTGTAGCCTGCCATGGTCCTTCGTCCCTGGAATTTTCCAGACAGAAAAAATAGGATTGGGTGGCCATTTGCTACCCACTGTAGTTAATTATTATTAGTTAATTAACCCAATGTAGTTAATTATTAATCACTAAAATATTTAAATTGCTATTAATTATATAAATTAATTTTAAGTGACATAAATTTGTTGAACTATTTCTAAATTGAATAATGAATTAGATTGTATTTCATTGAGTTTGCTACGGTTGGTTTGTTTAATTAATATATCAGAATGGAAACAATCCAACACATTTATCAGGAAGCATGCACAAAATATTTCTAAGTTTCTCATTTAACAAAGGAAAATAACTCTTTCCTGGATGTCTTCTCCTTATATTTATCTTGAGCGATTTAGGGAGTCCAACAAGATCTTCTTTACATATAACCTTTCATGAGATTGTAAGAGATGCAAATATTAGTCCATTTAGAATAACAATTTATGGTATTATTATTGATTGGTTGGCAGTATTTGTTGCTGTTGTTTTCCAGTTAAGTTTAACAATGGGAAGAATCAACACAAGATAAATTCCATAATTGTCACCTACTAATTTATGGAACAAAATTTTTTTTAAAAGTCTGACTTCAAAAGAAAATTATAAATTTTTCTTGAATAACAGTATATAGCAACATTATTTAATGAGATATATCTGGCTATATATATCTAGAAATTTTATTAACTTAGCAATAATTAATAATAATAACTAGTAATTAAGTTAATAATTAAAAACAATAATAATTAAGTTAACTTTATTAACAATAAATTAACAAGTTTGTTTTATTGGTTCCTCTATTAGCACTCTAGACATTGAAGTTCATTTTTTGAAGTTATGATGTTAATTTTAAAGACTTTTAATATGGCATTTATAAATATCAGTACTGTTTCATTTGCATAGGAAATGAATATGCATATGTTTTTTGGAATATACACTAAAAATTCATTAATTTTATTAGTTTCTTTAAATGACTACAGATGATCCACACCTGTTTTGTGTTTTCTGAAACAAATTCCGAGAACAAAACAATAAAACAGCCTTTAGAAAACATTTTGTCTTCTGGAAACAGAAAAAAAATGCAACTTCACATGAAGGATTGTTAGATCATATATGTTAGAAAGTTATTTTTAAAATAAACTGTTTATTGCATGCTGTCACGAAGTTAGATTGCAATTTCATTTGCCGTAGTATTATAACTTTGTTAATTTTGAGAAAGAAAATTGTTTTTAAGCCAGTGTATCCAAACTGAAAATAAAAATAAAAAAATAAATATTCATCCATTCTTTCATTTATTCACTCAATAGGCATTTTGTGAGTATAGATTAGAGGGCAAGTATTGTGTTAGACACTAAGGTGAGGGGATGAAAGGCCCTTTTCTTGAGGTGTATACAGTCTAATGGAGGAGACAAAAATTATGACAAAATTACCAACAGGATATTAGGAGCCACTCAGGATGAGTGTCTATCTCAAGCAAAGGAGTGGAAAACAGAAATGAATCTTGAAGGATAAATAGTATTGTGTAGTTAGAGAAATGAAATTTAGTACTCCAGGAACGCAGAATAATTTTTTTTTTCTACTGAAATACCTTGTAGTGCTCCTTAACCTGAATGCTGAATTTTAGCAATTGCTGAGTGGTATCAGATCTGTTTTCTTGAACTCTGCCTTAAAGCTTAAGGACATTTAACCCCGTCATCCAAGATGGCTGAGTGTGTTTAAAAAAAAAAGGTCTGTTTAATTGCAGTATATTACCAACATTTAACATAGGATTCCTATGAATCTTATATATCCCAGTGACTTCTCAGTTTATCTGTACTCAAAATACCTGTGTTTTTTTATTAGTACAAATAGTATAGAAAATGATGCTAAAAGCAATTACGGTTGACCCTCAAACAATGCAGGGTTCATAGGTTGACCCTCAAGATTTTCAACTGAAATGCACGTTTACAACCCTCCAATCAGTTGAAAATCTGAGTATAATTTATAATTGACCCACCTTACGCACTGTTCCTTAGTATCCACAGTTCCGTATTCACAGATTTAACTAACCACGGACTGATATAGTACTGTGGTATTTACTACTGAAAAATTTCTTCATATGAATGGATCCATGAAAAAAAAAAATAAATGGACCCATGGAGTTCAAACCCATGTTATTCAAGGGTCAATTCTAATGTAAAAGTAGCAGCTTATTATAAATATTAAAACAAATACCTAATTAATATAAAATCAGTCTGTCAGTATATCAAGCTTTCTCCCTTTAAGTCGATTAAAACATTAGAGATTGGTTTTTTTGGGAAAAGTTTTCCTCCAAATATAATAATAACATTTAAAATATGATGCATATTGATAATTAAAAATAAAGTGATCTTTAATAAAACATTTTATTAATATTACCTAGAAATTACAAGTTTCAAATATAAAGTATCTATTAGATATTTGATTCAATATCTTAAGTATTAAAATAATAATGTGCTAAAATAAATAGGTCATACTCTATTCACCTGAAAAATTCAACCCACTAAGAAATAATAAAAGCAGTCCCGATAGCCAGAAACTGGCCTGACATGAGCAGCAAGGCCCCAGTGTCTTAAAACCTGGCCTGGCCCTCACAGCTAGGCCATTCTGTTCTTCTGGACACAAACAATTTCAAAGAATACCAAGATCAGATGAGGTCACTCTGAGACCATGATAAAATGAGACAAAAGCAAGGCCATTGCACAATTTTGTCTAGGTGCCAACAGAAAACAAGGTCATTGTGTAAACCACAAAATACCAGTCATCTCCTTCTCATGACTAACTTGAGTGACTACTGATTCTTCACTAGTTACAGGTTGATCCTCACCCTGGTCTTCTCTTCTTTATATAGGTAGAATTGTTTGAGATAGCCAATCATAGATTTGCACTCACTTTCTGACAGCATCTGAAAGTGAAGGAAAGTGGAAGTCATTCAGTTGTGTCTGACTCTTTGTGACCCTATTGGAATTCTCCAGGTCAGAATACTGGAGTGGGTAACCTTTCCCTTTTCCAGGTGATCTTCCCAACCCAGGGATCAAACCTAAGTCTCCCGCATTGCAGGCAGATTCTTTACCAGCTGAGCCACAAAGGAAGCCCTAGTAGATTCTGACAGCATCTAGACTTGGGTAAATCCTCCCTTCCTTAAGCCCTCCCCAAAGTTATCCAACCAAAGCTCAAATTGAAAATAGCTGTTTCTGAAACTCTCTTGCAGATACCACAGCCTTCCAAGATGTGTGTTCCTCCATGCTATGGTGTAAAACAAACCCAGCTTATTCAACTCCAGGTATTTTCTAGTGGTCCTTGGCTGTAGGAAATTAATACTAGGCAAAACCCTGCCCTAGATTTAGATTCTGTTGCAGGATAACACAACCACATTACTAGTTACTGTGATACTGTGTCTTAGTACAGGTCTTCACAGCAGATCTTATATTTAAGAGCATGCACTTTGGATCCATATTCCCTAAAGTCAGAATGTAGCTCTGTCAATCACTAGCTATGTAGTTCTTAGTAAATACTTAATATCTGAGCCTCTCTCTATTGATACATCCATAAAGTGGGGAAATAACAGTACTTCTTTTCTAAGTTTTTATGAAAGTAACAATTCTTTGGAACATTGTGAATGCTAAATAAATGGTAGCAATCATTATTTAAAATGATCAATACTCGAAGGAAAGTTTTTACCTAAATATTTCAGTAATGGAAGTAGTCTGAAACCTGATTTATGAAACATATTTTTCCTAACATAGTGTCATAAAGATGAAACTCAATATATTGATCCTTCAGTATTGTGTAGAGTAACCTGAGACATTAAAAGAATAGATATTCTATTCCGATTTAGGCCCTGAGTCTATAAATTCTTTAAGTTCAATGTTTTTTTCTTTTTCTTTTTATAAAGAGTTTCTCTCTGGATTTTTATATAAATCCTTAATTTGAGGTCCGATAACTGATCTTCAAAGATGGCTCCCCAGTGAGGCATGACTCCTGGTGTATCCAGGCCCTTGGGTGGTCCCTTTCTCTTGAACTTAAGTTGACACTGTAACTTACTTTTGAACACTAGAATATGACAGAAGAGATGCCATATGACTCCTGAATCTGGATCACAAGAAACTTGTCTCTTATTGCCTAGGTATTGTGGGACACTTTGCTCTTTGGACACTCCATCTTGAAACCAAGCTACCATGCCATGGGCAGCCCATGACACATGGAGAGGTAGGTTTAAAATGTTAAAGTTTATAACTCCAGCTAAACTTAGAGCCAACAAGCTTCATCAGCTGTCAGGCACATGAGTGAACCATTATGGCTATATAGTCTAGTTGAGTCTTCAGATGACTATATCTCCTGCTGATATCTCCCTGCAAGGGTACAGAAGATTTCCTCTGAGACCACCCTGTGAGCTCAGTCAAGCAAGCCCCAGATTCATTAGGATAATAATAAAATGTAATTTCAAGAAGACTTGGGTGTTTGTTACATAGCAATAAATAACTGAAAAGGGTGTATGGTTTTAACAGTTTGTGTCCATTTGAATATTTGAATAGACTGACTAAAGGAAAATTTTTGCTAGCCAACATATTTTTGATGTGGTCACTAATTTAATAGAAATAACACAAAGAGTCCAACACCTTTGAATACACTCCATAAGTATTTCCTTCATGGTCAATGTTCAAAGAGTTTCATTCTCATTTCTCTTTTATTCTGATATTTTAAGTTCTGGTATTTATCTTTTCCATATGGCAGAAAAAGAACATATTAGCTGTTGGAGAAAAGGGGAAAGAATCTATGACTTAAGCAACACAAGAAGTGGCTTATCGTTCTTGATAGCTCTACAAGAAACAGATGTCACCATGGTGACTTCCTGCCAGGGAGTGTGAGAGGAATTCTGGGAAAGCAAATTGGATACCAGCAGAAGTGTGCTAATGAATCACGTGATAAGCCACATGTTAATTGCTAATAAGTGGAACAAATGATTACTTCTGGTGGAATGATAACTTTGATTGAAATACTTCATGTCTAATAGTCACAATCAACTTCATGTGTGCCTTCTGGATGCTCCAGGGAAAAAGTACTTTGCAGATGTTTTTAAATACAACTGAACTTTCCCTGAAACTACCTCCTAAATTGTTGGTCTGATTCACTACCAAATTTTATGAGTTTCATATTGGCATCAGAGATTTCTTAAAGTTACATAGATGGAAATCTGGATAAGAGGCAAAACAATTCTAATGAGCCTGTAAAACCTAAAAATTTAGACAAACATGAATTAGTAAAACAAGATGGAGATACTTAATAATATAAGTAGATGGAAGAGAAATGTAAAAAAGGTTTTCAGTAATCATCAAAGTAATGGACTCTAGGATTATTTTTTTTCTCTCTCTCTCTCAAAGGAAAGTTTGGAAATGTTATGACAGGTAGATAAATATTTATTTTCCCTTAAAGGTGTAATTATAAAATGTAAGTCATTTCCCTCATATTCCCTCATTTTATAAATACAGCATCTTTGTAGTATTTATCAAAACTGACAGTCTCTCCCTCAGTCACAAATAAGTAGCATTTTGCTTGTGATTCCATTGTTACTACTATTTTTCCAAAATATTTCTCTTCCATAGGAAATAATGTTGCTTTAATCTGGTTTGGTGGTACCAGACCATATATTTATTTTATTTTATTTTATTTTTGGATTACCTCTTGGATTCTCTACATCTATGAAGCACTTTCCTGTTTACAAGCCCTGAATATAATTAAAGGAACTATGGGTACTTGCAAGGAATGCAGAAATTCTGGCTTCAGTTTCCAGTCATAGGTTCACTCTGCAGTCACACTTGTTATTTGCCATGTTTCTGGAATGTTATGTGAGAGGTGATATGTTCTTTTAAAAGAATCTTGGGCTGACGTATCTTATCCACGTGAAAATCACCAAAGTAAGGAAAACAATGGGCCTTACTGTTCCCTAAGAGGCGCTCTCCCCTGGCAATTGAATGGCAATTGTTTTTTATAAGATCTGATGGCAGTCGCCTCTCTTTCTCGTCTCCTTTCTTCATTCACACTATCTCTTTTCTCCTTTCCACTATTACACAGTTGAGCTTGACTACCTAGTCCCCATTCCCAGGCCTTGGACCGTAAATGATGAGATATGACCCTGTGCTTTCTAGTTTGGTCTGCATTGCTATAATTTCCTGGAGTGAGAAAAATCCAAACCCACACACCACTGGCAATTTGGCCAAAGTTATTGAGGCTGGGTCTTTTTGAGTGTTTCAAGCTACACATGGCCTTAATAATGAAACAATTCCTGGCTTGGTCCCTGACTTCAAAGATTAAAGATCCAGTCTTCCTAGGATACATCCCATTCTCAATCTTTTCCCCTTGATTTATGTCCCCAAGTGCCCACTATATTTCTCAAAGCATGTGTTTACATCACTTTGCATTTGGAAATTGTCAAATTTTACAATTTGCAATCCATCCAACACACTGTTACTGGAGTTATCTTTATAAAGCACAGATCTTATTATTTTCTGATTAAGGCACTTCTTAACTCAGAGTCCTACTGAATGGTTCTCCCTCTAAGCCCTGCACTTGGTCTGTTACAGCATGACACAGGGTGTACCTCAGAAATATTGTGGGTACTGTTCCAGACCATGTCAATAATGTGAATAGGGCAATAACGTGAGTTGTACAAACATTATGCTTTCCCAGTGCATGTAAAGTTATATTTATACTATACTGCAGTCAATTGTGTACAGTAACATCATGTTTAATAAAACAATGAGCATACCTTAATTTTTAAAATGCTTTATTGCTAAAAAATGCTACCATCTGATAATGCAGGGTTGCTACAAACCTTCCATTTGTGTAAAAGCTGCAGTCATTGGGAAGCTCAATAAAAAGAGATATGCCTGTATGTTACCATTATGATAGATCTTCTCCTTATTGTCCCACATTTGAGAAAAAACAGGCACTATCAATTATTACAAGAAAATAGATACAGACATAGAATTACAGTCATGCTAACTATAGGCCACTCTACTCCTCATGATTTAACACACCAGATCCTCAATCATTCCACAGCCAGGTGTTTCAGCTTTCCACTAGTTTTTTCCTCAAAACAATAATTATGATTGCTAACATTAATGTAGTAACCTATTGCATCTTCACAACAACTCAAACAATTGATCTTGTGATCCCTTGTACATATGAGGAAACTGAGGCACACAGTAACTAGGGAACTGACTAGTCACCAATAACGCCTGGAGAGTGGGAAAGTGTGTGAAAGTGAAAGTTGCAGTCATGTCTGATTCTTTGTGACCTAGTGGACTGTAGCCCACCAGGCTCCGCTTTCTATGAAATTCTCCAGGCAAGAATGCTGGAATGGGTTGCCGTTTCCTTCTCCAGGGGATCTTCCTGACCCAGGGATTGAACCTGGGTCTCCTGAATTTCTGGTGGACTCTTCACCATCTGAGTCATCTAGGAAGCTGTGGGAGAGCCGAAATTCAAAGGGGAACAAGACTGGCTCCAGGCCCCTTGCCTGTTAATGTAACTCCAAACTGTTTTCCTGAAGTGTTTTTTCATTCATTTACTTCCTAAATTTCCATCCTTTAGGAAGAATAACACAGCGTTGGAGAGAAGAAATCCTGAAGTCAGAATCTCTGAGTTCCAGTTTAGGCTCCATCAGATGGTTGGCTTTGGGTAAGTTACTCAAGTTTTCTAGGATTCCATTTACTTCGTTTTCCATGGCCCAGTTTTAAGGGTCATTGTGATGGCTAAGTTAAATCATGTAAAGATTTGAGTATATAGTAAGCTCATGATGATTAGTTTCTATTAATACTAAATGCTACCTCTTCCTCAAAGAACTTTCATTTCCACATTGTTGTAGCACTTTGTTTTCTTGCTGTGAACCCTGGAGAATTACTGACTGGAGAAACACTTAAAGACTTCAGATGCAGTTCAGATTTAATATCAGCATTTCTAGGGTTGGGACTAGCAATCAGTATTTTTTTTTTTTAACTTACCAGGTGATTCAAATGTGTAGCCAGTGTTGTGAACACTGCCTTAAACTTTTTCTAATATGAAAAATCTTTGTGCATATGTTTCTCTTTCCACAAATTTCAAGCTCCTTGATTGCAAATGCTCCATCAAAATCATCTTTGTATTTCCAGTGGTAACTAGCACAATACCTTATATAGAGTTGGCACAAACAATTATTTATTCCTCTGAATTAAGACATCCCCCAAATATGCTCACTGTTATAGAATGAAGGGTAAGCTCTTTTTTGCCATCACTAAAGAACTCAATGCCTGTTTTAATCAAAGATTGGCAGGATTCAGGTAAACAGATTTGGATGGGAAAGTGGAAAGAATGTGGTGATAAAACAAAACACCTCGTTGTTAATTTTAAAATAACAAGCTGCAAACTTGACTATGCTTTATAATCATCTGGGAAGATTTTTACCAAAAAAATTGAGACCGTCTGTTTCTCAGGAAATTTCAATATTTTATCAAGCTTGAGATATACTGACTAAGATGGATCATAACAGACTCAGGACCTGTCTCCTTTTACCCCAAGGTTGAAAGTTAACCACTGCAGTTTACATTTAAGTACCAAGTAATGAAAAGAATAGAGAGCATCCTGTTGTGTAAGTGTACCTGCATATCTAGGAGAAGCATGATATCAGGACAGGGAACATACACATGTGTGTATGTACCTATTTTAAGTTACCCTTCACCACAGACATACAATGAGAACCAGAGTATAGGATCAGTCCATAAAGACAGTATGTCCAAGACATTGTTTTTGGTGAGGTAATTGTTTTTTGGTGAAGGAGTCAAGGAGATAGCTTTGCCAAATAACCATCAAATATGCAGAGTCATTTTTAAGGGGGACACTTCAGTTTAACTTACTCTATGATAATCTGGACTGAATCTAGATGATGATAACTTGCTGCCTTAGAATTACCATATCTAGTATTGTTAAGTACTAGAACCATTTTTGCCATATTTCAGTTGCAATTAATTCTCAGGTGGGAAGACTTTACATTATAGTATTAGCCTGTTCAGTGCTCTTTAATATTTTAACAAATAATGGGAAATAAAAGATTAAGGGTACAATATATCAATAGAGTGATAAAGAATCCATTTGCCAGTGCAGGAGATGCAAGAGACTCGGGTTTGATCCCTGGGCTGGGAGGATCATCTGGAGAAGGAAATGGCAACCTGCTCCAGTATTCTTGCCTGGAAAATTCCATGGACAGAGGAGCCTGGTGGGCTGCAGTCAGTGGGGTCACAAAGAGTTGGACGTGATTGAGTGACTGAGCACACATACCAAAAACAAGAATATGAATGCTTGTTCTATGATGTACAAATTGCTAGCATTTTACATATTATTTCAAACTGAGATAAAACAGTGCTTGTACCATATTATATTCTTTTAAATTTTTGTAAACTTTTTTCAACATGCCACCTTATTCATCCAAATATCTTTCTATTTAAGTTAACCTTAAAGCTATTTGTTTTCTTTCTTGATATGAAAAAGAAAAAACATGATAAACATAACATGTGAATAATGTCATATTTTAAAAATAAATTTTTTTCATTTTTTTTCAAAAATATACCAATAATACATCCCCAATTATTGGTCTTTAGATAACATCTTTTTGGTAAATAGATCAATTAAAGTCTCTATAAGAAGATGATATTATTGATGTACATAAATACTTAAAGCCAGATAATACTGATGTGTAGTGGGAAATTCTCATCATATCATCCATCTACTATGAACAGATAAAAATGAGTAAAGCATGATTTATAATCAACTTCCCAAAGTCAATTGCAGTATTTTAAACAAAACAAAATTAAACCAAAAAATCCATTAATTATTATTTCTTCCTCTGTGTGTCCCAAAGAACTTTAATTATACTTTTTAGTCCCTATTTAAAGTTTTTATGTGTTATACTAAGTTATTAAACTATAAATTCCTTGAGAGAACATATCTTAATTGTTGCTGGATTTTTTGCAATTCTCAACAGGGTAATTTATACATACAATGTGTTCAATAAATATTTTATCAAACTAACGTGTAAAGCAGTTTTTAAAGGCTGCCACATTCTAACTGTGTATTAAAGCAGTATAAAATTAAAATGTGGTCCGTGGATGAGCATCAGCATAGCTGTGAACTTGTTAGAAACACAAGTTCTCAAGTCCTACACAAGGCCTGCTCTATGAGAATCTCTGTGGTAAACGTTTGTTTAACTAGCTGATTTTTTAATCCAGGTGATCTTTATGTCCTCTTAAGTGAGAGAACTGACAATATATTTCACATCAATTTCTTATGCAAATAGGTAATACATATTAAATCTGCTGATTACCACTAAGTTGGCAGTGATAACCAATAGACCCATCATTTTGGGGGGAGGAGGGGAGATTGAATTAAAATTCTAAAATTAGAATCATTGTTGTTTCTAACAGACTAATATTAAACATAGATGAACGTAGGCCATTATACACTAACCAAGTACTTTTTTAACAGCAGCTATTTGATCAAATTCCGGGAGATAGTAAAGGAGAGAGGAGCCTCATGGGCTACAGTCCGTGAGGTCACAAAGTTTCAAACCAAGACTTAGTGACTGAACAACAACAGCAACAATATTACATCAAATACTATGCCAGATAATGGGATGGATACAAATATGTTTCCTGCTTTCAAGGAGGAATATTTAGGCTGAAGAGACAGTTATCCACACAAATAACTTAAAGTTCAGTGAATTCAGCGTCAGTTGTTTAGCGATTGTCTCCCAGTTTCAACACCCACCGCCATATACATCTTCATTAATGTTTGGGCTGGGACATCACAGACCACATTTTTGGATGGGCAGCTGGCTCCCTTTTAAGCTCTGAGTGGGGATTCTAAAGGAAGGCAAAAAAGTTAGAGAAAGAAAAAGGGACTTGCTGTTTCCTCCTTGTTTCCATTGGCTTTCTACTGTAGTCAGCATCTTTCCAGCTTCCCTACTTCACTCTAGTGTTAGTCGCTCAGTCCTGTCTCTTTGTGATTCTGTGAACTGTAACCTGCTGGGCTCCTCTGTCCATGGAATTCTGCAGGCAAGAATACTGGAGAGGGTTGCTGTTCTCTTCTCCAGGGGATCTTCCCGAGCCAGGGATCGATCTCAAGTCTCCTGCACTGCGGGCAGATTCTTCACCATCTGAGCCACCAGGGAAGTCCTTACTAAGGTGATAGTTGGTTCCAATCATACCAGCTGAATCCAGTTTGCAGTTTTTTTTGAATACTTTTAGAAGCAGCCTCCTCTGCACCTCTTTAGAAACACCAAAACTTGTGGGCTAGTCCCCCTCCACAGAGGTCTGAATTCCAGCCGTTCAAGGGCCGTTTTCTGGGTTAAGAACCAGCACCAGCTCAGAGGCCCTTCACAGAGCATCTCAGTTTTAATAATTCCACCATCTTCTGTTTGTTTTCCAGCCCTACATGTGGCTGCTGTTTCCTCCAGTTGCTCCCACTGCAATAACCCAGTGCTCCATCTTTGCCTTGTGTCTTAATCAACTTTAAACCCATTAACAATTTTCTATATTATCTGTATGAGAATAACTGGTGAGTTTTCTTTCTCCTCACTGGACATTAACCAATATAATAAATGATAGAAGATAGGGACTGTGAAGTGGCTAAACAACAACCACAAAAATCCCTAAACTGTTTAAGTCATGGAGTATATGTAATTGAATTTGATTCTGAGACTCACAGCAACCAAATTTTTGGCTAGTTGAGAAGAAATCAATTTTCAGGTCTGACCTCATTTTGGAAATGAATTTTAATTTTTTGCCAAATGTAGAAAACACCTGTATCGGGGAACCATTTATTCGATGTTGTTGTACGGTGACAGTCTGTAATTGGGAAAGTCATTGAATTAAATGGAAAATTATTAATTATATTATAATTAATTATTGGGGTTCTATGATAATGGTATTTGTATATTAATTTTATTATGCCCTTTCCCAGCAAAATAAGTGTTTCTTGAAATGTGTAGAACATGCCAAAGGAAGTAAGGTAATGGAGTGCATAAACTGAATGTTTATGTCCCCACATAATTCATAGGCTGAACTTAATCCCTGATGGGTGGCACTTTTGGGAGGTAATTAGATCTTGGGAGTGGAGCCCTCTGAGTGGGATTAGTGCACTTATGAAAGAGAACCCAGGGAGCTCACTCAAACCTTCTACCAGGTGATGACGAAGTAAAACAAAAGTCATCTTTGAACCAGGAAGTGGATTTTCACCAGATGCTGAATCTACCAGCACCTTGAACTCTGGCTTCCCAGCCTTCAGAACTGTGAGAAATAAATTTCTTAAAAAAAAATTTTTTATTGAACTATAGTTGATTTACAGTGTTGTGTTAACTTCTGCAATACAGCAGAGTGACTCAGTCATACACATGTACAGTCTTTATTATGTTCTTTTCCATGATGGTTTATCTCAGGATATTGAGTGTAGCTCCCTGTGCTATGCAGTAGTGCCTTGCTGTATACATTTCTGTTGTTTGTAAGCCGTTCAATCTATGGTAATTTGCCAAAGCAGCCTGGATGTACTAAGACGGGGAGTGAGGTCAGAGTTAGAAGAGGACATTGGAGTGTTGTCCTCGACCGAAGCCTGCATAGGTGGTCAGGTACTGGAGCGGGGCAGTGTATTAAGAA